TAAACAAATCGTTATTCACTTGTACGGATAGCTATTCGCGAACTAAACGTGTTGATTTACGAACATTATGGTGGGAACAACATGTATTCCTCATCCGTCTGGCTTCCTCTTGACGATTTGATGCCCAATTTCCTCAGCAAATTGTCTCAGGCTTATTTAATGACGGCAACGACTCCGGGTTTTCTGCGACGAGCACAATGTTGTATGCGACAAAAAGCATCGAGAGTATGCCACTGCCGAAACAAAATCCCCCGTTGCTTCGATGTGCGGTGAAACACTGTCGAATGCGCTGGTAAAGGCTTTCGGGAACCAAAGCCGGTTTGTTTCAAGTTTTCGCCAAATCCTACTTTTTCTTTCCACCCAAAAGAATAAGAAAATGTCCGGAAAAAATTAAATTTGAGCGTACCAACAATTTTCTGTAAATGGCGATCCGGGCAAAGAAGCACAAGAGAAATGTGTCGCAAACTCTCCAACGGTGGAACAACCGGAACCTGAGACAATCGATCCATAACTTCTTTGACAAGAGTAATATGCCGAGAACTTAGACTTGATGTTATTAGTGCTGCAACAATATCAGTTAGCATCAAAATACAGCATCTTAGAGTGGGGGAAGAGCGAGTCTTGTTAAAATACATAAATTTCATGAGAGCAGAAAAACAAACATAATTACCTTCATGTGCCAGGTTTTCAACAAAAGAAGTGGCATGTTTCCCATGAAATAAACTAACAAACTGATAAAGGCTGATAAATTCGGGTTCCCACACACCCTTGTCAGTGAGCAAAGACATTATAGATTCAATCACTGAAAAACAAGCAGGATGAAATCAAGACGTTAAAATTATGTTATGGAAGGACTTCGGGATTTCAGTTAGCAAAAACAGCGTTTAAACAGTCTAGTCGTTTAATTAAAATTACTGATGTATTCAGGAAAATCCATAAATCTTTAAAATTACATATGTTTTCAAGAAAAGTGGGAGCTCGTACCCTACCTAAAGAAATTCAGCA